CTGGAGAACATTATGCTGAGTCAAATAAGCCAGTCAGAGAAAAACAAATACCATATGATTTCACTCATTTGTGGAATCTAATGAACAAACACTGGATTAACAAGGAAAATAGAGACAGAATATAGATGGAGAGCAGATGATAGCTCTGGGGTAGTGGAGGTTAGGGGGTGGAGGGATCAAGTGAAAAAGAAAAAGGACTCATGGACATGGACAACAGTGTGGGGATTGTGGGAAGATAGGAATACAAGGGAATAAATGGTAATGGAAAAATACAATAAAAAATTTACAAAGAATAAAAAACAAAAGATGCCCCAGCCAACGGCTACTACCAAGTCCCAGATGTGTGGAGTAAGGTCATCTTGGATCCTCTAGTCATAGTCAAACAACCCCAGCTGATACCATATGGAACACACATAAACCCTCTTCAGAACTGTGAGCAAAAAAATCACTGCTGTTTTAAATCACTAGGTTTGGACATGATTTGCACATGATGCAGCAAGAGACAACTGAAATAGGCATCTTATAATTCATTCTCATTCTCAATCATATTCTCTCCCTCTTCTCCCCTTTCTCTCTCTCTCCCATGCTTACATGCCTGGGTTTCTACACCCCCTTTCAGTATGGTGTTCTACTTATTCCTGGGTCCCTCCCAATTTTATTGCAATGCACGGAGTAAACACCTTATATAAAACATTGTTACCAGCATGAGAGAATATTATGGCAGTAATTGTGGAGGACATATACTTAACACCTGTATCAGGGCTTGTTTCAAGCAAGAGGACATATGCTATTACATGCTTCTCGGGGGAAGGGATGAAAAGAAGCTGTTGGGAAGCATTTCTTCAAGTGGGGTTTCAGAATTTCGGTGAACTTCTGACACTAAAGACAGAAAACCTGTCACTCTAGGACATTTGTATATGTATGCTTCTAGAAAGTTATAGCCAAGGCCAAGGGAATGCTTGTGAAATAGTTACTTAAGCTTGCAGCATTACGGATTTTACAAAACAAGTCTCTGACAATATTCATCTGAGGACATAAACGTGCTCTGGATTTGATGGCCGACGTTAAGTTTTATTGGCAGAAAATCCAAAGCACCGTCTCCAGAAAGTCAGGGACAAAGGATGGCCATGGATGCTTGGCGTCCCTGGGAGGGAAACATCACGTCTCCAAAGGAGGCCACGGCAGCACCTGCTCACTTCCTACCATACCAGGCCCGAAGCTACTTTTAAAAAGGAGCCAAGCTGCCTTATTCTCAGTTGTTTTACCAGAGAGGCAAACCTGATTAATATTAACATTCTCCCCAGAATAATGTACATATCCAGGTCTTGCATATAACTTTGGTGCATCATGGACCCCAGATTAAAAACTATGAAAGGGGGACGCTAGATCCCTCAGGACCAGAGGCATATGCTCTGGCGCTGCTTTCAACCCAGGAATGTTTTCACTCACACTCCATCAGTTTCCAGAGGAACACAATCTCACTGTGATTCACCCCACTCTCTCGCATAGACTAATGAAAAAGAACATAAAATGAAGCACTGCAATACTCTTAATATGCACCTCACCCAGTCCACAGCAGACAGTAACAGAATGTCCAATTCACCCAGCCAGATGAGTATTCTCACCAGTCCTTGCCCATATACTTACAGGCCTGGCCAAGCATTTTGTATTTCATTTCTATTTCTACAATTTGTGCCCAAGGCAGGATGGCTGCTTGTTTACACAAGTTTCAATATTGTTATTAGCAGTATCCGGTCCTTTTTCTGTCATGCTACTCTCAAATATATCTTCTGGCTTTCAAAGCTGGAGGACACCAAAAACAGTTACTGTTCAAAAGCCATTAGATGCTCCCTACTATAAAATCAAATGTGTTCTTTAGGGACATGAAACATAATCAAATGCTTACTCCTTACCATTTAATATTATGTTATTTAAGAAAAGGTGAACTGATAAAATGTACTATTTTGGGAGACGGGCACATTTGACATTCAGGGATGGATATGAGCTCTATTTTTGGAAAATTCTGTTGAGACCGCCAAAAACAATGGTTTACACTTACTGAACCTTACTACCTGCCAGATTCTTGATTAAGTCCTTTACATAAACCATCTTATTTAAACTTCATGACAAACCAGTTGAAGGAATGTGGCATACTGGCTAGATGGTCACTAGACTTGCTTCCCTCTTCTCTGAGAACACAGTTAGGCTGCTTTCCCAGCCTCCCTTGCAGTTAAATGTGACCATGTGAGTTAATTCCAGCCAATAAAATGTAGAAGAAAATAAGGAAAGCATCCTCTAGGCTTGGCCCATACAAACTTACCCAACCTTCTATGCTCTCATTTCCTCCACCAAATGTCTGATTGCAGAGATCTGCAAAGCAGGAGGCAGAGCCACAAGATGGGAGGAACCTGGCATGCTGAATCACCGACTGAACAAGATGCCACCCTCAGAATCCCTGCAGGGAACTGCTATGTGACCAAGAGATCAACTTTTACTGTCTATAGAGTCACTAGATACTTTGGGGTTGTTATAGAAGTTAGATTATACTAAAAGTACTTTTTTTAAAATAAGCGTATAGAGGTTAAGCAATCTGCTCAACATCACACAGCTACTAAGAGGAAGCAGACTTGAATCCAAGTGGTTTGTCTTTAGAAACCATACTGTTAACTGCTGTTTGATTATTTTCCCTTTTTATCAGTTCATTTTTTATTGTAAATAACAAATTTCTTCTATACCTGGTTTACTGTATTTGAGGAAGGTAGTTGGAAGGAGGTCCAAAGTTTGCGATAAAAATGAAGATAATTTTTTCAGACAAATAATTTTATCTCCGTATCTCCATATTAACCATGTTAAGAGGGAGGCTATGCTGCTTACACAGCTTTGCAGGATACTGCTGTTACTTTGTGAAAGTTTGTATTTTGAGGTTCTTTAGTGGTTATCAATGCTCCATAACAACTTATGACTAAAACTTTGTGGCTTAAAACATATTGGCTCCCTGCTTCTGTGGGTTAAGAATTCAGGAGGCTTAGCTGGGTGGTTCTGACTCAGGGTCTCTTCTGAGGTTGCACTGAAGATGCCAGCTGTGGCTGCATCATCCGAAGGCTTGATCAGGGCTGGAGGAGTCACTTCCAAAGTCTGGCAAGCCGGTCTGGTTGCTGGCAGGAAGCCTCACCTCCTGCCCACAGGGTGATGGGGCTGCCTTACAACAACGGGGGCTCACTTCCTGCAGCATGAGCACGTCCAGAGACCAAGGCAAATGTTACAAGGTCTTTTGGGACTAGTCTCCAAAGTCACACTCCATTACTTTTCCTATTACAATATCCTATTGCCCATACTGGAATCACTATCCCACTGATCAATTCCTATTGATCACATTGGTTCAATATTGAGATCTCTTATTCACCTGGGAGAAACTACACAAGGGAGTGGCTATCAGAAGACATGGGTTACTGGGAGCCATTTTGGAGGCCAGCTACCACAAGAGCCCGTTCATTCATCCAGCACATATGCACTGGGTTCCTACTGAGATCTGGGAACAAAGTAGTGGGGGGAAAAAACCCCCAAACAACAGACAAAGGTCTCTGCTTTCATGAAGCATACATTCTAGCGGAGGTCAGAAAAGCAAGAGATCTAATCAGCAAGTCAATTACAGAGTGTGCTGGAAGTGATAAGCGCTATGGGGAGAGAGAAACTGGGGTCAAGGGGAGGAGGAGTGCTGGAGGCGGGGACTGCTTGCAGCTTTAGACACAGAGATCTAGGTAGGGCTCGCTTAGAGGGCTTGAAAGAGGTGAGGCTGTATGCTATGTAGTTCTGTGGAGGAAGAGTGTTTCAGGCACCGGGAACAGCAACTGCAAAGGCGTTGAGGAACAACTGGAGGCCCTGTGAGATCAACGGCAAGGCAGCTGAGGTAGGAAGGGAGATAAGTACCAGAGGGGAGAGCAGAGACCAAGCAGGACCTTCTAGGCTCTTACAAGGGCTCTATCTTTCACTCCATGAAATGCAAAGCCACTGGATGGTTCTTAGCAGATAACTGATGTGATGTGACTTAACATTTAAACAACTTTCACTCTGGTGGCTGATAATCAGAATAGACAGGCCAAGGGTGGGAGCAGGGAAGCAAATCAGGAGGCTCTTGTAAAAATGCAGACAAGAGATGATGGTAGCTACTGTGAGAGTGTTGTTAGTGTAGGTGGTGATAAGTGATCCAGTGTTATTTTGCAGGTTATCTAGCACAATGAATTCACCATTCTAAGTAAAGTTTTTATTTAGAAGAAGCACATTTTATTTGACACCAGAGCTGTGCTGTCATATGGTGCTCTAAGGGACCCTGGAGCTACTGAGAAGCTTCATAAGGATTTGCTATTAGGAGCTGGGGTAGGACAGATGAGTGAAGCATCATGTCCCCTGCACTAGTTCTGAAGGACAGCTCTGTGTTGACATACTTCATTATGAGGGGCGAGAGATCTTAAGAAAGACCAAAATGCCCTAAAGGAACAGAGAGACTATACACATACACGCAAAGAAAAAATACACCATTTATAAAACTGAAAGGCACACTACAGATTAGGAAAAATATTTGCAACACAAATGAAAATAGTTCAATGTCCCTAATGTTAAAAAATACTGTAATTTCCTAAGAGGACAACCAAGTTTAGAAAAATGAGGAAAGGCCATTTTCAAAGTGAGACATAAAACCATAATAGTACTGTCTTCATTGGATTGTTGTGAGGATAAAAAGACAACATATATAAAGTACTTAGCACAGTTCCCAGTACAAAATAAAATGTTCACCACTGTTGTGCCACCATAGCCACCATTGTTGCCGCACTGCCATCATGAGATGATTATCGTCACTGCCGTCACACTACCATCAGCAACTTCATCACTATTAAGAGTTCTCATTAGCAATGTGAACACTGGTCCTCCCCGAATGCCAGTTCCAACTCAGCCTCCCTCAAGGCAAATTCCTCACTCACAGAGACCAAGTGTACCTATATTACCTTCTCATGATTTTCTATCAGGATCTCAATGACAATGTTCTGAAATTTGATATCCATGATGGCTGCCACTGTTTCTTCCTGAGGCCGCAGCAGGGTGGGTCCAAACACCACACCGAGGTTTGCCACTGTCATCAGATTTTGCTTGTGGTTTTTTGCAACACTGGGAGAAAGAAAAAGAAAAGGCACAAATGAGAGAAATAGTGTACACATAAGACCACTGACTTCCCCTCTACCTTTCCTATTTTTAAGACTCCTCATCTAGAAGGAGCCAGACCTTGGGATACCTTCCAATATCCTTGGAGTTCAAACAGACTTTTCTCCTCATATTTTCATGTATCAAAGCTTCAAATATCTTCAGTGTTCAGGCTATTTAGCTATTTCAGGGTATGACACTCCATTTATCATTTCCATTTTCCATACCAACCAACCAACCAACCAAAGCAGCCACTTTCCAAAATACAAACCTGTGCACATCCAAATCCCTGTTCTGCAAATCCAGGTAACTGCTAATTCCACTCAGTTACAAATTCTATACTTGCCTACTGCCTAAACTGCTGTGATCAATAGCATTTTCTTTAGCTCAAACACAGAGACTCTTGACAGCTTTAATACATTTGCAAATATAGGCACAAAATAGACTTAATTTTTAAAATGAGCAGATTTGGATACTTAAAAAGAAGTCAAGAAATTCAGTGCTTTAGGCTCAAGTATTAAAGCCTCATCACATGAAACATGTGGTTTACATTAAGCAAATCATGTGGCATAAACAGAAACAAAAACACATGTATATGGCTGTGTTTATATTGTCATTTATACTCAAAGGCTAAGGAACACACAGGGTCAGCATTAGCTGGGTCCAAGTAATTTGCTAAACACATATGCATTTTTTTTGGATAAGCAGCTACTCAAAACATATATCTGAACTTTACACCCAAACCACCGTGACCTAGCCATAAAACTTAATCATCCATGTACTGACCCTGCTTATAAAAATATACAAATTACTTATTGACAAGTAAGTTAAAAGTTAAGTCCATTCAGTATTGTTGAGAAAATATTAGGGGCTTCCTTAAATCACCTGTTAGAAAAGGGAAACTATTCATTATGAGAAACTAGAGGGAAATTGGGCAGAGATGTCCATTTGCACAGACATACCTCTCTAGCATTTAGTGCTATTTATAGCAAGTGTTTTTTAACACAATTCTGTAAATGCCTGCACTGTTTTCACTTGTATACTTCTATTTTGTAGGAGGAAAAAAAAGGTTCTACTGACTTAAGTGTTGGTTTTGAAACTGAGCCTTTACTGAAATACTATCTCAACCAATTTTATCAGCAGATGTGTACTTTGCTATAATTTTCAAGGGCTGAAAGTAATTTCCTAAAAACTCCTCCTCAAAAAGGGGCAAGGGAGTGGTTAGGTCTATGAAACTTTAACTGTGGCATTGCCAGTTAGAAAGACAATTTGCTTTTTGATTGCTAAGCAACACCTGCAGCAAGGAGATTTGCCACTCATATCCTGGCATGTTTCTGGTCCACATAAGAATATTTTACAAGCATTTTTGTGTGTGTGTGTTCGTAATAGTTTTCCATTCTATCCAGAACTGCATCACATTTCTAGTCGAAAGCCGTGATGCAGATGGTCAAGTTCTTACTTGACAAGGGGGAGAGACTTTGGTTCTGCGCTTCCATCAGCAAGTATGCGTATTTAAAAGCTGCTTGTAACACCATTACTCCACACCATTACTTTCAACATCAGCTCCTGTGTGCAGAAGTGAATTCCATGCCCTTGTATTTCTCCTCCTAGATGAACTAAGTCAGCAGACCTATCCCTCTTGTCACAAAAGTCCCTTGTGCAAATGAATAAATAAGCCATTTATGTATGAAAGCACTTCTAAATTGCAGACCGATATAAAAATATATGGTTTGGATGATGATCACTTTTCACCACCATGCTTCTCAGCACTACCTCTGACTCAAGCGACAGCCTCCTAACTACGCTCCCTGAGTAGAGTCTCTAGGTTCAGCTGCATCGTGCCTGCCACCGCCAGTTACTGCCTAAAACTCGGCTCTGATCCCATCATTCCTCTGCTGAAAGCTGCAATGGCCTCACACCTCACTGGGTTGTTAGGAGACAACACAATGAAACAGTGTATGCAATGTGTAAAGTGCTTAGAAATGCTTCTCTTTTTTGAGTGTTGATAATGATAATTATAAACCCTTGGTAGGCTCAACTGTTTTGAATATAAAGTCCAAACTTATGAAATACCACAACTTTTCCCAAGTCACCTCTGCCAACTCCCAGCTCTGGGCATCTGGGCGAGTGACTCAGTATGTCTAAGCTTTGGGTTTCTCATCTTTTTTTAAAAATTTTTAATTGAATTTATTGGGGTCACATTGTTAATAAAATTATATAGTTTTCAGGTATACGATTCTATAATACGTCATCTGTATATTGTATTGTGTGTTCACCACCCAAAGTGGTCTACTTCCATCACCATTTATCCCCTTTTACACTCTTCTACATCCCTCCTTAATCTCTGTTCCAAACTGTTGTTTGCATCTAGGAATTGTTGTGGGTTTTGTTTTGTTAGGCTTAATCCCTTCACCTTTTTTTAAAAAGACTTTATTTATTTTTAGAGACAGGGGAAGGGAGAAAGAAGGGGAGAGAAACATCAATCGGTTGTCTCATGCACCCTGAACTGGCGACCTGGCCTGCAACCCAGGGATGTGCCCTGACCCGGAATCAAACCTGGGACCTTCCGGTTCACAGTCCAGCACTCAATTCATTGAGCCACACCAGCCAGGGCTCCCTTCACCTTTTTACCAAGTCAACAACCCCTTTCCCATCTGGCAGCTGTCTGTCTCTTCTCTATGAGTCTGTTTCTATTTTATTTATTTATTTGGTTCATATGAGTGAAATCATATGGTATTTGTTTTTCTCTGACTAGCTTATTTTACTTAGCATAACATTCTCCAGGTCCACCCATGCTGTTGCAAAGAGTAAGATTTCCTTCTTTTCACAGCTGAGTAGTATTCCATTGTGTAAATATACCATAGCTCTTTTATCTACTCATCTATCGGTGGATACTTGGGCTGCTTCTAAATCTTGGCTATTGTAAATAAATGATGCAATGAACATAGGAATGCATATATTCTTTTGGATTAGTGTTTCAGGTTTCTTCAGGTAAATTTCCAGCAGTGGAATTCCTGGGTCATAAGGAAGTTCCATTTTTTATTTCTTTGAGGTGACTCCATGCTGCTTTCCACAGTGGCTGAACCAATCTGCATTCCCAGTAATTTCCTAGTGGAATCTTTAGGGTTCTTTATATACAGTACTATGTAATCTGCAAATGACAATTTTAGTTCTTCCTTTCCAATCTGGATGTCTTTAATTCTTCTTCTTGTCTGATTGCTGTGGCTAGGACTTCCAGTACTATGTTGAATAAGAGTGGTAAAAGCAGACATCCCTATCTTGTTCTTCATCCTAAGGGAAGTGCTTGTAGTTTTTGTGCATTGAGTATGATGTTGGCTGTGGGTTTGTCATATATGACCTTTATTATACTGAGGTATATTCCCTCTGTTTCCTCTTTGCTGAGTGTTTTTATCATAAATGGGTGCTAGATTTTATCAAATGCTCTTTCTGCATCCATTGATATAATGTGGTTTTTATCCTTCATATTGATTATGTGGTGTATCACATTAATTGATTTGCAGATATTGTACCAACCTTGCATCCCCAGAATAAATCTCACTTTATCATGGTATATGATCTTTTTAATGTGTTGCTGGATCCTGTTTCCTAACATTTTGTTGAGGATTTTAGCATCTATGTTCCTAAGGAATACTGGCCTAAATTTTTTTTTTTTTTTTTTTTGGTAGTGCCTTTAGCTAGTTTTGGGATTAGGATAATGGAAATAGACACACAAGTCCAGGCAGCAGAGAGAGTCCCAAACAACATGGATACAAAGAGGCCCACTCTAAGACACATCATAATTAAAGTGCCAAAGGCTAAAGATAAAGAGAGAATCTTAAAAGGAGCAAGAGCAAAGAAGTTAGTTACCTACAGAGGAGTGCCCATAAGACCATCGGCAGTTTTCTCAAAAGAAACTTTGCAGGCTAGAAGAGATTGGAAAGAAATATTCAAAGTCACGAAAAGTGGGGACCTAGAGCCAAGATTGCTCTATCCAGTAAAGCTATCATTTAGAATCAGAGGGCAGATAAAAAACTTCCCTGACAAGAAAAAATTAAAGGAGTTCATCATCACCAAACCATTATTTTACAAATGTTAAAGGGACTTACTTAAGAAAAGGAAGATCAAAACTATGAACAATAAAATGGCAAAAAATATGTATCTATCAACAAATGAATCTAAAAAAACTAAACAAGAAGAACAGAGACAGAATCATGGATACAGAGAGCGTTTTGATGGTTGTCAGAAGGGAGGATGGTGTGGGGGAATGGGTCAAGAGGTGAGGGGTTTAAGAAGTACAAATAGATAGTAACAGAACATCCACAGGGATGTAAAGTACAGCATAGGAAATGAAGTAGCCAAAGAACTTATATGTATGACCCATGGACATGAACAATGGTGGAGGGATTGCCTGAGGGAATGGGGAGTGCTGGGTGGAGGTGGGGTAAAGGGGAAATAATCACAACAACTGTAATAACACAAACAATGAAATATAATTTTTGAAAAATGAGCTCTGGAGTATTCCCTCCTCTTGAATTTTCTGAAATAGTTTGAGAAGGATAGGTGTTAGTTCTTCTTTGTCTGGTAAAATTCACCTGGAAAGCTATCCAGGCCAGGACTTTTGTTTGTTGGGAGTTTTGTGATTACTCCTTCAGTTTCGCCAGTTGTAATTTGTCCAGGTTTGTTTCGTGTCCCTAAGATTTGTTTTATATATTTAAGTGTTCCTCTATTGGGTGCATAAATGTTTACAAGAGTTATATCCTCTTGTTGGATTACTCCCTTTATCATTATGTATTGTCCTTCTTTGTTTCTTATTATAACCTTTGTTTTAAAGTCTAGTTTGTCAGATATAAGTATTGTTAACCCAGCTTTTTTTCTTTTCCATTTTTGCATGAAATATTTTTTCCATTTCCTTACTTTTAGTCTATGTGTATCTTTCTTTCTGATGTGGGTTTCTTGTAGACAGCATA